GCAGCGGCTCCCTCGTCGCCTGCCCTCAGCTATGCCTGGCTGGGTGGAGAGGGAGCTGGAGACCCTCGCGCCTGCGCTCTCGTCTTGCAGCCACACGCTCCTCCTGTGCCCCCCAGCTTTGGCCCAGGTGGCTCCCACGGGGTCCCTGCCCCACGCAGGGGCCTTCCTGCGGCTCCCGGGAGCGGGGGCTCACCCACATTGGTCGCCCTGGCCCCAAAGCCCGAGAGTTTGCAATAGAGACAGAAAAAAAACAAGAAGAGAAACCAGGATTCTCCTACCCCCAGGGTCGGGAGGGGAGACGGCACCTTGCGCTCCCCCACAGATGAGCCGAGCTTCCCCATGCTCCGCCGGGACGCGCCGGAGCCCCAGTCCTCTCTGCTCGCTTGCCAGCCCCACGCTCCGGGATACCAAAGGAAAAGGAGAGCAGCCCAGCAGGAGCGGTGACTGGCTTCGCCTGGGCCGGCATGTCCAGGCCTCACAGAGTTGACTGCAGGTCGGGATCCACCATGGTCTCGCGGTCCGGAGACTCAATGTAGTTGGCAGCTTCCTGGAGCTTCAGCAGCATGGCCATCTGCGGGGAGAGAAGCATGGCACCAAGCCCGAGGGGGACGAGAGGTCTGTGGATGCCCTGGGGAAGCCAAGGCCACCAGGCCCTCCTTGCCCTCCCATACAAACCAGCCACCCCAAGAAGCTCCTTTGAGGGTAAGCAAAGCCCAGAGATGCTGCAAAATCCCTCCCTGTCACCAGGATCTGGCCTTGGGCACAGCTGGGATGCTCAAGGCTGAGCACGCCAAAGCAGTGCGGGAGCACAGGCCCCCAGCACATCAGCTGGCATCATCTGTGGCAGGCCGCCATCTGCTAGCAGCCTCTCCAGGTGACACACCGGGACACGTATGTGCAAGCCCCAGTCTGTATGTGCCTGCGTGCGGCTCTGCATGTGGACATGATGTCTTGTGGAGCGCCACGCTGTGCCCATTCGCTAGCATATCACAATGTGCCTCAGCGTGCAGCCTGCCTGCCAGTGCCACCATCCCGCACCCACTGCTCCTCCCAGGAGTGCAAAGTGTTTCTGCATCCCCAAATCAGGCCTTTTACACTGAAAAATAACTGGGAAAGCAAAGCTCCACCTTGCTCTCCCCTCTCCACCAGCACTGCCCAGCCCACCTCCCACTGCCCGGCACAGCAGGGCCGTACCAGAGGGTCCGAGTCCAGGGAGCTGGGTGTCGTGTCTTTGACGGTACGCTCCTCGGGAGGGGAAACGGTGCTGTGGGGCCCAATGGTGGGTGGGGGCAGGTGGTACAGCTTGGACTGGTCCTGCTGCGCTGATGGCCAGGGCAGGGTGTCCCGCACCCACTCCACGGGGTCCTCCCAGGCTGCCTTCTGCCCGTGGACCTGCAGGCAGGGAGCAAGCAGCAGCCACCTCTTCAGCACATGCCAGAGCTGGCGACATGGCACCCTGAGCCCCACCAGGACAGTGCTATGTCCCACTGCAGCCACAGGGCAGGGCAGGGCCTGACAGAGATGCCAACCTGTGCCCAAAATCCCAGCACCTCCCCTCTCTCCACCCCGTTAGACTGCTGCATCAGCATGTCCCCAAGCACTGCTGGTTTGCGCTCCCACGTGCCAGGTAGCTCTGGGTACCTTGAGCCCATCTTTTGCCCCCTCCTGCAGGTAAGGGATGATGGAGTTGTTCCACAGGTCGATGAACCAGGTCCGGAAATCCTCAATTCCAATGGGGCAGGACAGGAAGAAGCAGGGACCTGCAGGGGGAAGGCAAAGAGCGAAAATGGGAGCTGTGTCCCCTTGCTCCAGTCACTGACCCTGTGGCAGCACAGCACCAGCGCAGGCAAGCCTGGCTGCACAGGGTGCCCTGGGTTCGACCACCTCCTTGGAGCAGCATTCGGGCAGCGTCTGCCTGACAAACATGGGCAGAAAGCAAGCTCCCAGGCAAGTAATGGGGCTGCTAAGTTCAATCTACCCCCCAAAATCATGGTAAGGCAAAGGGAGACCTGCCTGGGAAAACACAGCTCCTCCGTGCCCAGGGAAGGGTGCCAGTAAGACAGGCAGCCCTGGCCGACACCATGGTGACAGCTCCCATGGGGAACAGGAGCAAGTGCCACCCAGGGAAGAGCAACACTTGAGTGCATCACCCACCAGCTTTTGCTTGTGTGGGACTGAGGGACACAGGGCAGCACATCAGCTCCCCAGGCTCCTTTAGGAGGGTTTTGCCCCAGTCCCTGGGGGCTCCCAGCAGTGCGAGGTAGAGGAGGGAGGTGTGTGGCAAGGCCGTACCGATGAGGAAGTCGGAGGTGCTGTGTTTCTCCAGGAAGGTGTGCAAGTGGTACCAGAGCTTGGGCACCCAGTCCAGCACACGCAGCAGCTCCTCCTTGTTGGCATTGACGTCTGTGTCTGACTCCAGCAGCTTCCGCCGCAGGTAGCGCACCAGGAAGCCATTGGCTGGCTCCACGTTGTTTGAGAAGGTCAGCATCCTGGGGGAAAGACTCAGGTGTTCAGGGCTGGATCTCCACACAAGCTGCCCCGCTCCCCAGCACCCTCGGGGGACCTCCTAGCATGCCCCACACTGCATGTGTCCAAGGTTGGGGCATTGGGTCCTTCTGGGATGGCAGGGACAGGCCTGGGGCTCAGTCCTCATCAGGGTCCTCAATCACAGGATGTGTCCCCAGGACTGCCCAGGGGCAGGATTGACGGCCTCTACCCCCAACAACCCCACCAACCACCAACCTGAGTTGGTCCCCAGGGATGTGTGATTCCCACCTGAAGCTGAGATGGAGGCCATGGTTTGGGGTCATCTTCACAGGCTGGTTGGTGGTCCCAATGATGTAGGGGCTGAGCAAGTGACAGAGAGAGACAGGATCCATGAGAAAAAGCACGCTGCGTCACCCCTACCCATGGCAGAGCTGATCTGAGCACAGCAGACACGGGCAGCCGGGCAGCCTCATCTCCATGAGCCCAGGGATCTTGCCGAGAGCAGCAGGGAGCATGCGCGTGCCCGGCAGACTGTGCCGGAGGAGGGTGCAGTGGGGCTCTCACCATTTGTGGTACTTGCAGGTAAGCGCGCCATTGACAAGCTCACTGATGGAGCCCGCCTCGCTGAGGTCATCTAGGAGGATCACCAGCGGCACGTCCGCCGTGCCCGTCTCCCGGTCGATCTGATTGGCCAGGTTGGAGAGGTACAGCTGCAGATCCTGCAACGAACGGGCCGGGTGTCACACATGGGGCTGTGGCATTGCTGCCAACGGGGACTGCAGCACCAGTGCCAACAGGGACACTTCTGGCTGCTGCGTGCCTTCACCTTGCAGGACTGCTGGTGCATGTTGAAGGTGCTGACGATGCCCTCAGTGACATCCCGACCCGAGCGCTCCACCAAGTACTCGGCCAGGCGGTTGGTCAGGTAGGTCTTGCCGGTGCCGCTAGGTCCTGAGAGGATGAGCCGCCGGT